GAGTATGGGTCACCATACTTGGCCACATGTCACGTCACTTTTCACTTTTTCACTTTTCACTTTTCAATATTACAGCGAGAATAAAAGTTACTCCTTCTTTCTTTGCGTGAACATTTGTGTGGCGTTATGCAAATCTTCCCACAGAGCGACGTAGGTATGTTGGGGCGTGTTAGAACGAGCCGTTTTAGGTAGGCGTGGCTGACTCTTAAATTTTATAAAGAATATCTCTTTGGATTTGAGACTTTAGTCTTTGCAACTTTACAGATCTTCTTTATGCACCAAGAGCTTGTAACACTCCAAAGAGAAAGGAAAAATTTAAATCGCATCATATGACCCCTTTAAACTGTACTATGTGAGCGTCTTTTTAAATAACTGGAATACTAAGACGATCTGGTTGTAAACGTTTTTAAAGACTATTAACTCTAACTTATGGAGTGGGGAAAAAACACTCTTCCAACCCCTTGACTTCATAGTTTTACTCAATGAATGAATTATGCAATGACAGTCATTGGCTCGACGTTTTAAAGGAATTTCATTTAGGTATTTTCAGGGCGCAGTCTGTCGAGGAGCAACACAAATGGTCTTTTCCGAATTACTACTATCCTACTTGCTTGTAAGTGAAGTGTAGGTGTGATGTATTTGTCATTTATCTGGACGGATGCTTTAGAGTTTGCGGGAACAGACGGCGCTGGGTTCACAGGACAGTACTAGCTCTAGGTTGATTCAGTCGAACCTGCGGACTCTCAGGTGATTGGCTGGAGGTGGATGACATCATTGAAAGTCTGTTGCCTCAGCCGCGCGCTAAACTCCTGGAAAGAGATCAGAGGCGCTCGCGCAGATGGGAGCCACATCTGGCGGATTGTAAACCGACTAGATCTAGAGAAAACCATTCGCTCGAGGTGTGTTTAGGTGAGCAGCCAGTCGCGATGGTCAGAGACTTAATGAGCTCCTCACCGCTGGCGAGAGCCTCGCGCGTAAAGAGCGCATGATGCGAAAAACAAAGTGCTCCCGCGCAACATGAGGACATCCCTTCTAATAATCTTGAGGAAGAACTTGACGGAGTGAAGGAGGAAGGGTGGATTCTTTTTCTTTTTTCTTCTGGCTGGCTGAGCATTTTTAAAATCATGCAACATGAATTTAACTAACAGCACTGGAGCAGAGGGTCTCGCGCCCTGGAACTTCAACGGTAAGTTGCGAGTGAAGGCGGCAAGCTTAATACAGTATGATACGAAAGAGTTAGAAAAGATAGGGGTACTCTTATCTCAACAGAAATTTACGATGAATGTGTGCATTGTGTGAGTACACATACTGAGACCATGTCCAAAGTAACGTCCAAAGTAACCATTTGTGAATGTAGTGGTGTTATTCCAACAAAAAACCCAATTGTTACACGATGCATATGTTCAGGGTTTCTGTTATTGTCTAAGTAGTTTATGTAATTTTGTAGGTCCATTTACACCTTGTGTCAGTATGAGCTGGAAAAGCATATGAAATAAGTATTAATGGTACTTACAAACACCAGCAAAATGGCTAAACCTGTTTATCCCATTCACTATGTACCTCAAGGCAAAGATTGGGAACAACAAAAAATGTAGCCCAGATTCTAAAATCTCGAAAAACATACATGTAAGTAAATTATTAGAGTTCAATCTGAAATATTTTACTCAAATTAAACATTACATGGTAAAATAGAACAAGATTTTGAAGTGGGGCGGTTTGAAGAAACATGGACTGTCTGTGACTGCATTCATACCATGATGCTTTTGTTAATTCTAGATACAGTTAAATAAAATTGTTTATTTGTGTTATTAAAACAAAGGCTTTTACCGTAAACAGTTTTGGCTGTAATTTGCTCCAAACAAAAAACTATGATTATATCCTATTCCATTTAAGTTTTTGTGTATGTAGTTACTGTAATGCTTTTGCAGGGGAAAAAAGGAATTTAAACATTAAACAACTTAAACATAGTGTGTGTATGTGTGTGTGACTGATGAGTGATTTTGTGGTGATTTTTGCTGGATGTCCTGATGCATTGGCTGAGGGTGGATTTGACAAGGGCTGATTGACATTTAGGTGAGATTACTGTTTATGTTTACATGTAGATTAGTGTAGGTTTTAGGCAGAAAGGCATTTCTGGCCAATTCACTATTGGTTTGGCGTTTGGGGTCTCTGCCACTCTGTTAACTGATCTATAAGAACCTGATTCTCAAGCCTCTGTGGTTTCTTTTTGTAGCTTGTGCGTTATGATTAATGCAGAGTAGTAACACAGCCCAATGTTATACCCCCACCACAACATTTACTTTGTATTTTCGTCTGTGAAGCTTGATGCACAATCAAATTGTGAAAAAAATGTTAAAATCTCTCGCTCTCCCCCTCCCTCTCCCTCTCTCTCTGTGTCTGTCTCTCTCTCTCCCAATCAATCTATATAAACATATAATGTATATTTGAACATGCAATGACTTTCAGTCTGTTCCACCTGTTCTGTTCTGGTTTTAAATAGATGAAATAGATGAGAAAGTGGGAAAAGTAAACCCTGCTCAGTAATGCCTCACTTTCAATGAACCATCAAAAATCCCATATGCAGTAGAGAATGCACATTTATATTTTATCTAAATACTCTGTGCATTGGATCCAGTTCTCAAATTTGCCATTTAAGCTCATAAGAAGCAGAGTGCATATCACCACAGAGCAGACACACATTCTCCCTCAGATACTTGCACAGACTCCTCTCTCCAAACTGACATTAAAACAGAAAACATAGACATTTTGGGGCACTGAACATGGGATAAGGAAACTAAAAGACTGAGCATCAGTCACAGTTCACTTGGAGAGCGTTTTAAAGGAATACAAATCTCTCAGTTGCGTTATCTCTGACCGACTCAATCACATCTCACTGCTGCGCATGACGATGGCTCTTTGATTCTGTGACCATGATTCTCACTGTGTGAACTGGTAAAGTACTAGAAGAATCCCCCAGAGTGAAAGTCTGTCTCTCTCTCTGTCAGGCATTCTCACTCTTCCTCTCCCTCACTCTTGCTCTCTTTGTCTCTGGCTGGGTGTTAACCCAGTTTCACAGAAGAAAGTGTGTCGCTATACTGCTGTTTTACCCTGTTACACTCACACACAAACACTCTGAGAAAAGAATGAAATGCCTGGAGACACAGCCAGTTCTCTGTGGGATCTCAACAGGGAGAGAGAACACAGCTATAACAGCTGAAGCAGCAGGATTGGCTTGTAGCTCTAAACAAAGCCCTGAGCATCCTGCCACTGGTCACCAACAGTTGCATCACCTGTGTGATGCATGCCAAGAGTTCAGATTGGGTTGATTTAGTATAATTGTTATGTATGTAATCTCCAGAGTTTTCATACATGTGGATTCATTTCTCATGGGAGTTGACTCAAATTGCCGTATTAATGGAGTTTATTGTATCTTTCAGCACCTTGGGAGAAAAGCAATGCTGAACTTTGCACTTACTGTATCCATAATGAATGCCACTGGAAGTCATCAGACACTGACTTAGACAAATTTGTTTTCACCTACTGGAGAGGATAATGCTGATAACTGTGTGAGTTGTGGGCCGGTGTGTGTAAATAATTGCAAATGTTCTTTTCATGCCGCTCAGGATGGCACAGTTACCAGGAAACCATCACCCACATCGCCATCTCTCTTAGACTATCTGCCAATTAGAAACATCTAGAATACTTCTCTAGTTGTTTAAAACCTCGCATTAAAATGTGTTGTCAAGCCTATGACTGATATAAGGTTGCGGCGTCACTTGTCACGATGCTTTTGATGTTTTGCTCATCTGTGTGCTGATCAGCTTAACAAGCGCTGCTAAACTGTAGCACAGCAGGGCATTGTGCCTGATTTCGATCCAATATTCAGAGAATTAGCAGAGAATTAGAATTGTGTGTGTTTGTGAGTGTGGGGAGCCTGGTCTCATGAAAATGCGTATAAATAGTACGCCAAATAAAAATGAAAACTCGTGGTATTGATACGCAAAAATGGACTTTGGCGCGTATATGCTACGCACGTGTTTAGCGTACGTATAATACGCAGTTTTCGCGCGCATATGATACGAAATTCATTGGCGTGCATATGATACCCCACAACCCTAATCTTACCCATCGCGTAGCATATACACGCCAAAGTCCATTTTTGCTATCAATACCACAAGTTTTCATTTTTATTTGCAGTACTATTTATACGCACTTTCATGAGATCGGGTTAGTGTGGGAGAGAGAAGGAGAGTCATTAGTTTGCCAGTGGCCAGTATGGGGGATCTTATAACGAGCACATAGCAGAATCAAAGGAGGAGTCTGATGAACAGACCACAAAGCAGCCCACACACACTCCCACTGCCATGTCTGTCCGAATCTGCAGAGGCCTGTGCGCCGTCTGTGTATTTGTCTGTGTCTTGGTTGCCTTGTTAACAAACTCTAACTTTTGATTGTCAAAGATGCTTTCCGTTGCTGGTCCCAATGAAAATTGGAAAAATGTCCTGGAAAGGCTGCACCACACTAAAACACTAATTAAAAACTTTTTGGATGGTTATATGGAAGCTTTCAGCTTGTTATTCGTATGCTGACACATTGTTATAGATGTTTATGATAATTCACAGATATTCATGTGTTTTTTGTTATACTGGTGGGGAAAAGTATATTTGGTAGCAGATGGCTTTATGTTTCGAGCTGCCAGCTGGTAACTGGAGGCTTTCTGCTTTTAGTCCCAATAGAGTCACTAAATGAGCATCATCCGTGTGTTTGTTGGTGTGCATGCATTTGTTTGTGCAGACAAGCGTGTGTGACTACATCCATAGTCAAATCCTCTGCAGCCGAGTTGACTCCCTTCCTGTTCTTGTCATTCAATTAAATTTAAAAGTAGAAGTGTTTAGCTTTATGAACATGTAAGAGTGTGCCAGTGTGTGTGTGTGAAGCAGAGAAGTGTTGGAGCAACAGCTGCTGTCTTCTGCATCCCAGTGCTTAGCACAGGAGACACACAGCGGAGAGAATGACAGCTTATATAAAAGTCTCGGTTTGTGACTCGCTTAGGAGACTCTGGAAACGTCTTTCACTGTATTTCTGACAAGATGTCACCGCCTCACTGTACACGCAGCCAAACAGCCAAAATGCCTAGCATCAGTGCAGAAAGAAGGCAGAGTCTCCAATGAACAATAACAGGCTTTTGAAGGTACCGACTCAAACACTGTAAGGTGTGACAGAATACCTGGTGATTCTAGTAGTTTTGTTCTCTCTTTTTTCTAATACTTCTTAAAAAAAGAGCAGTAATGATCTATAATTATTCATGGTTTTAAAGCTCTTTTTATACTGTAACTGTATATGCAATATTACATAATGGCTATTTATGATTTATTGTATTTATTATTATGATTTGTTATGTCAGTTTTGAATATATTTAGAAGGATTTGGTTTGTGTTTAAGATTTTTTGTCAGACTAACCACATATATTTAATAACTGACTTGAACAAAAGACGTCAAACAGAGCGAATGTGCTCGAGAGAGAGGGAGAGATAAGGGTCATCAATAAGGAGTTAATGTGCAGAATGTGTCCAGAGAGAGATATGAGTAGAGGTGAGGGCGGGTAAAAGTAGATGAATTATTATGATTATATAAGCCATGGAGCTCTGCTTCAGCCTAATGGTGTTCGGTTAGAAATGAGCACTATTAATAACGTCTTAACACATCAGTGACATATCACTGCTCTCACGGTGACCACTCTGGGGTCATTCTGTAGACACAGATTACTGTCCTCTTGGTAACTCTAGACCAGTTAGACGGGTATTGTTTTTCAAAGCTCTGTCAAGCAGGTCCTGTATCGACTCGCTTAGGACATTGAGCTGAGGAACACAGAATGAGGCAGAGGAATACATCTGTGTGGTGTTGGCATGGGGCTGTGATCAGGCACAGAGCTGCTGCGGTTCTGAGAGCCAGCTGAGATCAGACCCCTCATATCTCACTGCTGCAGGCTGAGCACTGATAACCTCTCTGCATCTGCATCCTGCCAACTCCACAGCCACAGCTGTGTGAGAACTTCAGAACGAGATCCCATCACAAAAAAAGTGATGGCGCTCATACTTGATTAATTGTGCATGTAATAATTGTTTAGCCATTTTGAGGCTGCATCATGCATTTATGGTAGTAGGTTATGTTAAACTACTAGATGTT